CACAAAGCTTACTCAAAATCAGGCCCTTCATTAGCCAACTTATCCTCCAAAGTACTCCCCTGATTGCTCACAGACAAAGCATCAATAGCAATCTCATCCGGAAAAGCCATACAGCTAAACTCTAAGCTAAGCCCACTCTTCTTGGTTACAGTCACAACTAATGGAATACTTGACCCATTGCTATGACCATCCTCATCATCATCATCCTCATTTTCATCACCGTCAAGACTAGGCATACTCACTACAACTTTGATATGCTCCCCTTTGTAATCCCTAGTCAATGTAACAGTCTGATGCCCAGGATTGTCTTCAATCTCGAAAGGAAAGCTTCCTGGAGCCGGCTCTTCATCCTAAACCCAAACAAAAAAAACCCACCAATAGAAATGTTATCAGCAACTTAACTATTCACTGTTACAAACATAAAGTAACGAACTTTATGAGTTAAAATTTCATAAAGTAAAAAACTTTCTCAATACACTTCAAAGGCAAATGCATTAACACTAAAGCAGTAAACTTTCGAATACCCTTTTAGAAATCAAGAGAGAAATGAGTAGACTTTTACCAAATCAGGATCATCGATTTGGAGAGCAGAGTTGATCTCGGAGTCAATCACGCGGAGAAGGGATTGCTCGGAGCTTATACGATCAATAGCCGTCGAGTAAAGAGCAAAAGGACGAAACGGAGATGGGTTGCGAGGAGGAAGAGAGGGACTGTTAGCAACGGAGGAGATGGATCGGAGTCCACTCATTCGATTAGTATACACGGAAGCTAACCTAGTTGCTGACCTGCGAACGCACAAAGCGAAACCCATTGGCACCGGTTTAGAGTGTTCTTCTTTGATTCTGTGGAGCGAAAAGGAGTTCTCAGGGTTTAAGGTTAGCTAGGGCTTTTTACCAGATTAGTTCCGGTTCGGTATATTCTAAACCGGATCCAAATCATATCCGAACAATAACTAGGCAAAAAAATTAAAATTTCTCATCGTCTCAGGAGTTGGGTATAAAAAAAATAATTAAATTGTATAAAACAAGCAAGATTGGTGATTTAATATAGTAAATTTTTCAATTTGAATATCTATACTATTATTTGCGAAGTGATTTTTTGCAACGGAGCTCTCACGTTAAAAGTTAGAGTGGTTAATATCGTTTATACCCTTAATGAATCTATACTATTATTTGCGAAGTGATTTTTTGCAACGGAGCTCTCACGTTAAAAGTTAGAGTGGTTAATATCGTTTATACCCTTAATGAATAAAATATATAAATCAGCCAAAAATAAAAACGAATTTAATACTTATTTGATTAGATAAATGATTTAAATTAATAATAATGATAAGAATTATCCATAATCTAAATATATATTTAAAAATAAAAAGATAATTTCTATATAGATATTGTGTTGTTATCCAGAAAATATATTTTAATTAAAAAGATTCAAAAACTGTAAACACATAAATAAATATTCATAAAGTAAAATTTTTAATTGTATATAATTCAAAAAAGAAAATTGAAAATTTATAATACATAATTATTTTAAATTAAAAGAATATAATAATATAATATAATGATATATATATATCTGTGAAGTTATTTTTCGCCTCTGAACTCACATGTTAAATTAAATTTATATTTATATTTATATTTTATATAGTTAAATCTTAAGAAAATACGTGTTTGACAAAAATAAATGCAAATATATTGTATTATTATCTAAACTAATGTTATTCTTTCTGTAAGATCAATTTTTGAATGTAAATTTATCGATTCAATTTTTCAAATCTTTTTGTCAATTAAGAAAAAATGAAAAAGACTTTAAATTTTTCAAAGTTTCAAATGAAAAATAGTTTGTAAATAATTTTATCATGTAAAAAAGTTTAATGTTTTAGGTCGAATTTTTTGGATGCAAATAATCATTTATTTTAATGTTTTTTAAAATTGATTTAAAGATAATTAAACTTATTTGATTAGATAAATGATTTAAATTAATAATACTGATAAGAATTATCCATAATCTAAGTATATATTCATATAAAAATATTTTAATGTTTGATTTTGGTTTTTTAAAACTATAAAAAATAACTTATAATATTATTTTATAATTAATAAAACAAAAAATAATAAATATTCGTAAGAAGATTAAGCCCGCATGTGCGGGCAAAACACCTAGTTTAAAATACTTGTGAAATATTTTCAAGGTTTAAAATGTAAGTAACCGTCATTTTAAAGTTTTTATGCGATTTTTTTAAAGAAACTATAAAATATCATTCCATTTAGGTTATAGACTAATTCTTCAAATTTATTTCATAAATAAATAAAAATATCACACTTATCTTTATTTATGCTACTAGATTTGGACTAGATTGTGAACGGAAAACAGAAATAGAAATGAAATCAATTATATACATCATTTTGTTTTTTCTTTACTTTATTCAAGCCAGTACCACAAACATGAAGAAAAAAGAAAGAAAAAGAAGTTTCATATTAACATTTTGTCACATCACTATCTTTGGCTTCAAGATATTGGATTTGATTTCCTTGTGTGGCAAAACAACTCCCCATTGCTATAAATCTAATCGCTCACATGAACATCTTCCCCAAGTATCGTCATGTTCGCAATCCTAAGCCCACTTTCCAACCGTTGAGTGCCACCCAATGCTTAACACCTGACTCAACAACTCATCCTGGACCAATGGCTACTTCTGGTCCTATCAAACCTCCTTCCCCAATCTTAGCCGTTTCATCCACCAGAACATTCCCAACAATTAATGTCTGAACCAGAGGTTAACCAGCAGTTGAGTCAACTGAGTTGACTACACTTATGTAGTCACGAGGTTGACCAATGACCATCCAAAATCCTGGGAGCACCATTGGATAGAGACCTTGAGCTGCTACAATCTATAGGGAAAGTCTCTTTCTCGATTGAAGTTGGTCTTACCTCAATCTTGTGTCAACAACCGATGGGTTCAGAAGATAAATCACAACGTTGATCTTGTTGCCTACATACAGTTTTGGCTTTTCCACAAACTTCTACACTTTTCCTGTAGTTTCTTCCATGACCACAACTCCATATTTCGACGATTCATCAACCCTGTAACCAATATCCACGTTAGATGAACGACCAATGTGTTGATTCTTAAATTTATATAGTTATCCGTGCACAGTCAAATGTCATTTTCAGTATCTTTTTATGATTAACAAAACTGTTTTTATTAGATAACATAGTTTTGTTAAACTAATTTCAGTTTGTTTTTTTTTGTTGTTGTAAAGTATTTATTCACAAATCAATAAACAAACTCTAAATATTATTTTTAATCATTTTTCACTCTGCTAAGTTTTCTTATTTTCTTCTAGATTTGATACAAGTCTCACTTTTTTTTTTCTATATACCTTCTCACGTTGTATAATTCAACACATTACATAGAATGTATAACATACTGTAAAATCCACAGTAGCTTGTATTATGCATGGCAGCATGGATAAGTGATAGTAAAAGCATATACATATTAATTAAGATGTATTAATGAGAACAAACAGGGGGATTAACAAGAAAAAAATATATAATAAAAAAAGCTTTAAATAAAGGGGCAGAGAGTCAAAACAAAAGTCGTATAAATAGAGGAAGTGATCCATAATCCATTTCACTCGAGAGAAGATCCCAAAACAAAAGTCTTTTTTCGTCTCTCTTGATAACTTCTTCTCCACGGGAGAACGAAACTGAAACAGAGATCATGGCGTCTTCAACACAAGACGAACAAGTCCACCACCGCAAGGAAGAAACCAAACTCCACAAAGAACCCGATCACGAAGACGATGATGACAAGATCGTGGCCTCAGAGTCAGAGAGTACAAGCGAAGGTGATAACAAGAAAATGGAACCTGAAGGGAAAGATGATAATCAAGAAGACGATGATGACAAGATCGTGGTTCCTTCAACGACAACATCACCAAGAAGCTTAACTCAAGAAGAAGAAGAAGAAGAAGAAGAAAAGTCAAGTGAAGACGACTTTGCTCTCGCCTTAGCAGTCCTACCTAAGATTCCATCTGTGCTTGAGATAGACGATTACGAGGAAGACGACTCAGAACAAACCTTGAGGTTTCTCACCCGATGGAAAGCTCCGGAGACTCCACCTGAAAATATCATTCATCGCAGCTTAGTTGAACAATGCAGCAGACCAATCCAAAAGCAGCTAACTACAAGCGACGTGAAGCAGAACAGGCTTTGTTTATCGAGGACGAAGTTTCAGCATCTTCTTGACGGATCAGGGGAAAAGAAGGAGATTAGGTTTAGGGTTTACGGACCAGACGGGAAGGTACATAAGATTTGGCTTGGTGGGAAGAAGAGTTCTTCCTTTGAATTGACGGTAGGGTGGTGGAGGTTCGTGGAAAAGTATGAGCTCAAGGAGTGTTGTGACTTCATCACGGTTTGGATGTTTAGGCACAGAGACACTCAAAAGATTTGCTTAGCTATTGATGCCATAAGATTTTCTTTCAGGAAGCATGTTAGTAAGAGGATCTCTGATGCTGCTTTCGAAGATTCTGACTAGAGAGTCTTTCTTTGGGACGTTAAGAGAAATGTTGAAAGGGATTTGTTTGGGTTTAGAGATTAGGAGATCATGAGGAGATTAGTGGTGTTTATAGATTCTTAGGTTTAAGGTTTAGATTTGAGTTACACTCTTAGTTTCTTAGTCTAAAAAAATGTAAATAGTTGGACGGAAAGATTCATTAAAAAAAACAGTTGGTTCTTACTTCAGTACTTGTGAAAACTTAGAAGTTGATCACTTTACTTGAAAGACAAGTTATCATGATTCATCAGTTTTACATACTTGAATGAGTATTTTAAAGTAGAAAGCCTTTTACTGCAGTGTGGGGAAATGATTTTCAGATCTCTTACCAATATAGTCCAAACATTTTACAAACACACAAGCCAGACTTTAAAAAAAAATGTTATATTGCGTAAAGCTCTACACTAGTGTTGACGTCGTACTACAAAAAAAATGATTCCATTACCATAATTTCATGAAACTGGTAGAAGTTGACCCTGTGATTCCATATGACTGCACAAAACACATCAGAACCCTTTATAGATTTTTTTCAGAGATGTTGTATAATGTTTATGAACGAAGATGGTAGAAGTTGACCCTGAAATTTCATGAACATCAGCAAGTACACTGGGGGTATTTAGATGCAAGTATGCAACATTAGTATCTGCAACTTGTAACTGAATCTGAACGTACACTCGTATTATGCATGGATAGTAAAAGCATCTATAAGCAACTCCGAGAGAAAGGTTTGAGCTGATCATTCAGATTAATCTGCTAATTATCAATCCTTATTTTTTTAAAATAAAAAGTTAATGTGGATTTAGATTTCATTTACAACAGTTGTGGTTCTTGTGGAAGCCCGTTTATCCAAATTAATCTGATACTATAAATAAGAAACAATCAAAAAAATATTTTAATTAAGATCTATTAATGAAAACAAATAGAGGGAATTAACAAGAAAAATTAGATAAAATAATACTAATCTATAACATTATTTGAGAAGTAAATTTGCTTAGTTGTCAACTTCTCCATGATTTTAGGTTATTTTGCTTATTTCCATGTTTAAATAATTTATTATATAATAAAAACGAATTTATATTAATAACATTATATTTTTAGAAAATATGTTAATTCTTTTGTATTAGATTGTTATCTTAAAAATATATTTTTCAATTATTATTTTAGAAGTAATTTTGCTTAGTTGTCAACTTCTCCATGATTTTAGGTTATTTTACTAATTTTCATGTTTTAATAATTTATTATAAAATAAAAAAAAAAAGAATTTATGTTAATAATATTTTATTTTTAGAAAATATATTAATTCGTTTATATTTGATTTTTATCTTAAAAATATATTTTCAATTATAAAATCTAAGTGAATTTGCTGATTAATTTGTAACTTTCTGTGATTTAGGTAATCTATACTGTTGCTCAAAAAAAAAAGGTAATCTATACTATTATTTGTGAATGATTTTTTGCAACAGAGCTCTCACGTTCAAAGTTAGAGCGGTTAATATCTTTTATATCCTTAATGAATAATTAATTTTTTTAATATAATTAAACATAAATAAAAAACGAATTTCAATGATTTTAGATTTATCTTTATCTAAAATTATTTTATATTGGGTTATAAAGTCTTTATTAACCTTGAAAAATAATTATATTAGTTAATATATAATTAATTATAAATTAAAAACGAATTTCATTTATTTGATAATTATCCTTATTTTAATTTTTTTTTTATATTATGTGATAAAGTCTTTATCAACCTTGAAAATAATTATATTTGTTAACATATAATTAATTCTAAATTAAAAAATGAATCTCATGAATTTGATAATTATCTTTATCTAACTTTTTTATATTGTGTTATAAAGTCTTTTTTAACATTGAAAAATAATTCTGTTTGTTAATATATAGTTAATTATGAAAAATCAGTTCGCAAAGACTTTATGTATAGATAATTTATATTGTGTTATCCAAAACATTATTAAAGATAATTTTTTATACTTTTTTGTTATGTCTAAAAATGATATTAATTTATTACTAAATGTTTTAAGTTTATGAGTATTTTCAAATATAAGTTGTGTAATGAAAATTATTTATATGATGATGAAAAATTTTATATATAGAAAGAATTTCTTTAGTTTATTATTAAATATTTTGAGTCTATGAACAATAATTTATTATAATTTACATAAATTGATTATATATTTATTTATAGATATTAGTAAAATTATTAAGCCCGCAAGTGCGGGCAAAACACCTAGTAAAGCTTTATAAAAAGGGAGCAGAAAGTAAAAAAAACCGAAGTCGTATAGAAGTGATCCATAATCCATTTCACTCGAGAGAAGATCCCAAAAACAAAAGTCTTTTCTTGTTAACTTCTTCACCGGCGAAAGAAACCGAAAACAGAGATCATGGCGTCTTCAACGCAACACGAACAAGTCCACCACCGCAAGGAAGATGACGCACTTGACCAAGAAGACCTGAACGATGAAGCCAAACACGAAGACGATGATGACAAGATCGTGGCCTCAGAGTCAGAGACAAGCGAAGCTGAGAAGAAAGTGGAACAAGAAGTCAAAGATGCTAATCAAGAAGACGAAAGCAGAGGAGGTACGATGGTGCCTTCATCACCAAGAAGCTTAACTCAAGAACAAGAAGCAAAAGCAAGGGAAGACGAAGCTGGCTTCGCAGCAATCCTTTTGTCTATAAGCGATCACGAAGACGACTCAGAACAAACCTTGACGTTTCTCACCCGATGGAAAGCTCCGGAGACTCCACCTGAAAAGATCATTCCTCGCACCTTAGTTGAGCAATGCAGCAGACCTATCCAAAAGCAGCTGACAACAAGCGACGTGAAACAGAGGAAGCTGTGTCTACCGAGGAAGAAGTTTCAGCAGCTTCTTGACGAATCAGAGGCAAGGCACGGGGTAAAGGAGACTAGGTTTAGGGTTTACGGACCAGACGGGAAGGTTCATGAGATTTGGCTCGGTGGGAAGAAGAAGTCGTTTGATTTGACGACAGGGTGGTGGACGTTCTTGGAAGAGTATGGGCTCAAGGAGTGGTGTGACTTCGTCACGGTTTGGATGTTTAGGCACACGGTCACTCAACTGCTTTGCTTAGCTATTGATGCCACAAGGTTTGCGTTCAGGAAACAGGTTAGTAAGAGGATCTCTGATGCTGCTTTCGAGGATTCTGACTAGACAGATTGCTTTGTCATGTTAAGAGAAGTGTAGAAAGGGATTTGGGTTTAGAGTTTAGAAGATCATGAGGAGATTAATAGTGTTTGGAGATTTAGATGAAGGTTTAAGGTTTAGATTTGAGTTACACTCTCAGTTTCTTAGTCTAAAAAAATGTAAATAGTTGAAAGATCATTGTATGATAAAAAAAAAACAGTTGTTCTTACTTCAGTACTTGTGATCACTTACTTGAAAGACAAGTTATCATGATTCATTGGTTTTGCATACTTAAATGAGTATTTTAGTGTAGAGAGCCTTTTACTGCACTGTGGTAAAAACGATTTTCAGATCTCTCACCAATATAGTCCAAAGATTTTAGCATTTTACAAACACACAAGCCAAAGTTCAAAAAAAGGAAGAAAAAAAATGATATATTGCTTAGAGCTTTACACTAGTGTTGACGCACTACAAAGAATGATTCCGTTACAATAAAGGCTAGCAAAAAAAAGATTAAAGCTTCCGTGCTCTTGGATCGATCCTCCTCACTTGCCTCGCATTTATAGTGTCTTGTGTATAGCTCACAGCCTAGCACACAGGTAACACTTCTCTTCTTGCTTGATTATCCACTCGTGTCAAGCTCTTATCCGCTGCTGCAAACGTGTTTAGCAACTCAAAGCAACACAGTGAGACAGCTGTGACTGAACCCTTCAGACTTCACTATTATGACTGCACAAAACACATCACAACTACCTTTATAGTTTTTTTTTCCAGAGATGTTGTAGTATGTTATAAACGAAAACTGGTACAAGTTGACCCTGTAATATCATATGCAGATCAGCAAGTAGACTGGTGTATTTAGATGAAGGCTAAGCATAGTCTTATAAAGTTTCAACACACAACATGGTATTCGTAACTTGGAAATGAATCTGAAAGTAGACTCGTATTATGCAGGATAGTAAAATCATCTATAATCAACGTCTCCGAGAGAAGGTGGATTTATTATCATTTTTTTTAATTAAGATGTATTAATGAAAACATATAGAGGGAATCAAAAAGAAAATAATAATAATAAACCTTTATAAAAAAAGAGGGGAGAGAGTCAAAACAAAAGTCGTATAAATAGAGGGGACGTGATCCATAATCCATTTCACTCGAGAGAAGATCCCGAAAAAACAAAGTCTTCTCTCTTCTTTCTTGATCACTTCTTCACCCGAGAAAGAAACCGAAACAGAGATTATGGCGTCTTCAACGCAACACGAACAAGTCCACCACAGCAAGGAAGAAGAAGAAGCATTCCACAAAGAGCCAGAACTTGACCAAGCAGACCTGAACAAAGAAGCCAAGACGGACGATGTTAGCAAACACGAATACGATGATGACGGCAAGATCGTGGCCTCTGAGTCAGAGACAATCGAACAAGAAGAAGTCAAAGATTCTAATCAAGAAGACGAAAGCAGAGGAGGTAGGATGACGTTGGTCATGCCTTCAACGACGACAGCAACATCATCACCAAGAAGCTTAACTCAAGAACAAGAAGCAAAGGCAAGGGAAGTCGATGCTCACGCCTCAGCAATCCTTCTGTCTATATTCTACGACGTCCCTCCTAAGAATCCATCTGTGCTCGAAATAGACGATCACGAGGAAGACGACTCAGACCAAACCTTGACGTTTCTTACCCGATGGAAAGCTCCAGAGCTTCCACCGAAGAAGATCATTCATAAAAGATTGATCGAGCAATGCAGCAGACCGGTTCAAAAGCAGGTGACGACAAGCGACGTGAAACAGAGGAAGCTGTCTTTACCGAGGAAGAAGTTTCAGCAGCTTCTTGATGAATCAGAGGCAATGCGAGGGAAAAATAAGATTAGGGTTTCTGTTTACGGACCAGACGGGAAGGTTCATGAGATTTGGGTTTGTGATGATGAGGAGAGGTCGTTTGAGTTGACAATAGGGTGGAGGAAGTTCGTTGTAGATTATGAGCTCAAGGAGTGTTGTGACTTCGTCACGGTTTGGATGTTTAGGCACAGAGACACTCAAAAAATTTGCTTAGCTATTGATGCCATAAGGTTGTCTTTCAGGAAAGAGGTTAGTAAGAGGATCTCTGATGCTGCTTTTGAGGATTCTTACTAGAAAGGGATTAATGGTGTTTAGAGATTTGTTTAGGGAGTTTAAAGAGAAGTTAGAAGTTTTAAGGTTTTGATTTGAGTCACGTTTCTCAGTTTCTTAGTCAAGAAATGTAAACAATCATTACATGAGGAGAAAACAGTCGGTTCTTACTTCAGTACTTGTGATATAACCTAGAAGTGATCAATTTACTTGTGAGACAAGTAATAATGATCTATCAGTTTGTAAACTGCAGTGTGAGAAAATGATTTTCAGATAACACACCAATATAATAATCCAAAGGTTTTTACAAACATATACAAGCTATTGAGATACTACAAACAATGATTCCATTACAATAAAGGCTATATAGCAGAACACATTTGCATCAGAGTAAAACTTACTTGATCTTTGGATCGATCCTCCTCACTTGCCTCTCGCATTTGTGAACGAACAGGTAGGCGTTGACCCTGTGATAATAATATTCACATTAGCAAGTACACTGGTGTATTTAGATGAATCTTAAGCATAGCTGCATAGGAGTCTATAAAGTTTCAACACGCACATCTTGTACAAAGTATCTCTACAACTTGTAAATGAATCTGAAAAACTATGCCGTTTTATCTACAACTTGAAATTACTCCTATTTTATTTGATGGCTAGCAACATTGTTCCTAGAGCAAGAAATATAAAAATTTGAAAATCACCAAAACTGATATATAGAATTTGTAACCATTAGAGTTTTCTGTTTTAATCACAAACATGAAATTTTTTTTCAAAAAAAGTTAAATTTAGGGGTTCAAAATGACATTTTATTGTTCCCCACTCTCACTTGAGCGCGAGTGAACAACAAAGCTTACCTTATGGGTGATTCCTCTTTTGAAATTCTTTGGATTTTGACGTGTTTCAACTTTTTTCGAAAAAACCGGCGAGTGAAACCAAAAAAGCAACAGAAGATCTTAACCGGTATCTATACCGCTGGTTTATAGTAAATAATTTCGGTTTTGATAATCCGGTTTAGTTATTGAATCAAAATCCAAAACCCGAACCGTTCTTCTTCTTCTTCTTCTTCTTCTTCACTCTATCAAACGAGCAGCTCCTTAGTCATCATCATCACACAGTTACGAACAGTGCAAGCAACATGAAACCCTTCGCCACGAATCGCGATCATCTCAAAAACCCTACCACTCTCATCAAGATCTCCGCCTTACTTCTCGCCACCGTCTCCTTCTTCTACTTAGGGAAGCGGTTTTCCGAAGACGGCTACAAGCAGCTCGCCTTCTTCTCCTCCGAGAACTCGATCCCTGAGGTCTTAATCTCTCCCAACAGTAACAAAACCTTCAATCTATCCTCGATCATCCCTCCGAATCGCACCGAGATCGAAACCTCCGCCGCCGCAACACTCCCGGTTCCCTCGTTGGTGACGGTGACGGAGACGGAAGCTGATCCTCCTCCGATTCCTTCTAAAACCTACGCCACCGTAACACAGCCGATTCCCTCGGCGGTGACGGAGACGAAAGCTAATCCTCCTCCGCCTTCTCCGATTCCGTCTCCGCCGCCGCCTGATCCGATCCGGACCTTCGGGGTGCTTGATGCGAACGGAGTGATGTCTGACGATTTCGAGGTAGGTGAGGTTGAGGAAGAATCTATTGAAGAGTCAGGGAACAAGACGGAGATCGTAGAATTGAGAAACGACGTCGTATCTACTAAACCTAGGGTTAGAGTTAAGAAGTTTGCGATGTGTCGTGAGAGTATGAGAGAGTATATACCTTGTTTGGATAACGTTAATGCGATTAAGAAGCTTAGATCGATAGAACGTGGAGAGAAATTCGAGCGTCATTGTCCTGAGAGAGGTAAAGGCTTGAATTGTTTGGTTCCGTCTCCTAAAGGTTATCGTCAGCCTATTCCATGGCCTATAAGCCGTGATGAGGTATTCATTCCTCTGCTTGTGTATGATATTGAATAGTTTTGCTGTTTTAATGTGGAAAAATTTAGAGAACATGTTTTGAGGTTTACTTGAATAGTATTTGGAACTGATTTGTTTGATGATTCCTTGACTTAGAAGCCGTGATTATGTAATCTTACAAGTTTTGCATTTTATTTTGAAAATTCAGAGTTGTTTTGAGGTTTACTTGAATAGTATGTAGAATTGATTTGCTAGATGATTTGTTTTACGGATAGGTGTGGTTCAGCAATGTTCCTCATACTCGGCTTGTTGAAGATAAAGGTGGACAAAACTGGATTTCACGAGATAAACGTGACAAGAGCAAGTTTAAGTTTCCTGGTGGCGGTACACAGTTTATTCATGGAGCTGATCAGTACTTGGACCAGATCTCTAAGGTTTTACTTCATTTCCCCCAAAGGACAGTTCTTGCTTCGCATTTTTTATCTGAAGTTGAAGTCCTGCTCATTTTCAAGAAGTGGTTGTGCTTGCTTCAAGTCATTTATCTGATGTTGAGCTCTGATTTTTGTGTCTGCAGATGGTTTCTGATATCACATTTGGCAAGCGTATTCGGGTTGCTTTGGATGTTGGTTGTGGGGTGGCGAGTTTTGGTGCTTATCTGTTGTCACGCAATGTTTTGACGATGTCTGTTGCACCAAAAGATGTTCATGAGAACCAGATTCAGTTTGCTCTTGAGCGTGGTGTGCCTGCTATGGTGGCAGCGTTTGCTACGAGGCGTTTGTTATATCCAAGCCAAGCTTTTGATCTTATTCATTGTTCGAGGTGTAGGATTAACTGGACTCGTGATGGTAAGGTTCTCTTGTGTGCTTGATTCTTCACCTCAGATGGCAATCACTGTAGTTTATAGCTCTCTATGGTGAACTAAGCGAAATTTCTCATCTGTTGTTTCCTTCTTTGTGATAAAGATGGAATTTTGCTCCTTGAGATCAATAGAATGCTGCGGGCTGGAGGATATTTTGCTTGGGCTGCACAACCTGTTTACAAACATGAGGCTGCTTTGGAAGAACAGTGGACAGGTAACAACCCTTTAAATCTGCTGCTTGGAGTTCGTGATCATGGCTTGTAGCTTTGTTAGAGAAAATGAGGGACATGAAAAGTCGGAATCACAACCTTTTTTACAACTAACCATAGTTTGTCTCTGTCGGGATAAGGAGAGTCTTTTAATATCTCACGTTTTGGTTTCCAGAGATGCTGAATCTTACGACTAACCTTTGCTGGAAGCTGGTAAAGAAGGAAGGGTACATTGCAATCTGGCAGAAACCCCTTAACAACAATTGTTATTTGAGTCGTGAGGCTGGAACCAAACCTCCTCTTTGCGATGAATCTGATGACCCCGATAATGTTTGGTACAGCTTCTCAATCTTTCTGATTTTCTTTTATTGTGAAACAAGGACATAGCTTGCTAAAACATCTGAACAAATTAATAAAGGCTATATGTAACTTATGCTGCTAAATTTGCATCAAAACTTCAACTACTTTCAGTTTAGTATGGTTGATTGTACCTAGTTTTCCCTTCGACTTGGTCGATGATAATGTGTGCACAACATCACGCTTTCTATGTCTCAGATTGTTTTGTTCGTTCTTTAGGTACACAAACCTGAAACCTTGTATCAGTCGCATACCTGAGAATGGATCTGGTGGCAATGTTCCTTCATGGCCTGCTCGTCTCCACACTCCACCCGATAGGCTACAGACGATAACATTTGATTCCTACATTGCTAGGAAAGAGCTATTCAAGGCAGAGTCAAAATTCTGGAATGAAATAATTGGGGGTTATGTCCGTGCCTTAAAGTGGAGGAAGATGAAACTAAGAAACGTTTTGGACATGAGAGCAGGCTTTGGCGGGTATGAAATGATATCTTTCTGTTGAGTACTATCTCGGTATATAGTACCTCACTTTCTTAGCTGATCTCTATTTGTTTGTGGCAGATTTGCAGCTGCACTAAATGATCATAAACTCGATTGCTGGGTTCTCAGTGTAGTTCCTGTCAGCGGGCCTAATACATTGCCTGTCATTTATGATCGTGGGCTATTAGGAGTAATGCACGACTGGTACTGCTTTTCTCCTTAAATCTATCATATAAAAACATAAAATTATGATAACTCTTGGAATCTAGTAATTCTATTCTACATGCACTGTTGCTTTGCCTGCTCATGTTAAACTAATATTAAGGCTCTAGCGATTCTTCAATAATCCTCGCATCCTACTACAGGTGTGAACCATTTGATACATACCCAAGGACATATGACTTCTTACATGCCTCAGGACTCTTCTCAGTCGAAAGAAAAAGGTATTTAAAGTCATAAACTCATGTCCACAATACGGGATTCACTCATGACCATTCTGCTTTTGTACATAAGTTGTAATGGTTAACATTTAGTGGATTGATTTGGTTGTATCAGATGCGAGATGTCGACCATATTGTTAGAGATGGACCGCATATTGAGACCAGGTGGGCGAGCATACATAAGGGACTCAATTGATGTGATGGATGAAATTCAAGAGATCACAAAGGCAATGGGTTGGCGTACATCTCTGCGTGACACATCCGAAGGTCCTCACTCAAGTTACAGGATTCTAACATGCGAGAAGCGTCTCCCTCGAGCTTAATTCCAGACTAAACCACACTGGCACTACTTAGACACATCGTTTGGTAATATCTCTCTTTACTGTTTGTATATTTTTTTTACCCTCATTATGTAACTGTAAATTTGATTGTGGTGTTTTACTGAGTAAAAGCTTTACCTAGTCCTCGACTTTGTAGTAACAACAGTTTTGCAATTGCAAATCTGTTGATTGTAACAAGGATCCATAAGAAAATAAACTTTCTCCAAGGTGTAAAATACAATACGTCCAAAACAATGTTAAGGAATTTCTCTTGAACTATGTCTGCATGGCTCATTCTACTGCTTCCACATCTGTACACACCATTTTGTGAACCTGAATCTGACTAGATACTGCAGGTGTATTTCTCATTGGTTATTTCCTGTTCGTATATTGACTATTATGCTGCTGCGTTTAAGGTTGTGTGATTACAGGCTAAGTTTGGCCTCTGAAAGCCTCGATACCATGGTTAGTTCAACACTACTCGGAAAGAGGTGGTGTATTTTGAACATTTACCACCCACATCTTAAGTTTATAATAGATGAAAGTAATTAATAGTTATTTAGTTGTTAGCAGTTAGTAGAACTATGATTAGTTTGTTAACCATATGGTTTTGTATATAAACAATAATGTATGGTGTAACCATATGATGATATGTAGTTGGTTTTTAGTGATACAATTAGAAATCCAAAATATTGACTAAAGACAATTTCTCTCAGCCAATCGCTTCACACTGTACTTGGAACAATGTCATTATCTAGGCTTTGGAATGTTACTGTATGAAGAATTCTGTAGAAGTTTCTTGATCTCAAATGAATGGCTTATCTTCATCCTCAGCTGAAAAAGGCAACACAATCATTTTCCAAAAGCATATGTGGTAATAAAATGACGGTATAACCTTCACTCGAAGCTAATAAGACGCCAAGAAACAAAATCAAGTGGCACATATGAGCCGTTTCACGACAACCTCATAAACACATTTCCACGTGGACCAATCAAAACATAATCCTCCTCATCATCTTCCTCGTGGCAACTTGGCGAATCCTCATCGTGTGGTGGTCAGAAGAGTTAAGAAGAGATAACGAATTGGCTGTTTCTTGATCACTCGGTTTATAAAGTCTCTCTGTTTCTTTGCCTCACACCAGCATTTTTCCATCACTTCGTCTCTGATCAAACTCTCTCTCTCAACACAGCTTCTTGTGTGACGCAGACTTGTGAGAAATGGCCGCCGCAGTTTCCACCGTGGGTGCCATCAACAGAGCTCCGGTACTTAAACCAATCTTACACTATGACATACTTTGAACTATGTGAACCAAAACTTTGAGTTTCAAAACTGAGTTTCGCCTCTGTGTGTTACAGTTGAGCTTGAACGGGTCAGGAGCAGGAGCTGCTTCAGTCCCAGCAACAACCTTCTTGGGAAAGAAAGTTGTAACCGCGTCAAGATTCGCTCAGAGCAACAAGAAAAGCAACGGATCATTCAAGGTGCTTTCTGTGAAAGAAGACAAACAAACCGATGGAGACAGATGGAAGGGACTTGCCTACGACATATCTGATGACCAACAAGACATCACCAGAGGCAAAGGTATGGTTGACTCTGTCTTCCAAGCTCCTATGGGAACCGGAACTCACAACCCCGTCCTTAGCTCCTATGAGTACATCAGCCAAGGTCTTAGACAGTAAGTTTTCATTCTCTCTAGATACCTCTCATTAGTTTCAAAGATTTAGTATCTGTGGCTTTTTTAATTGTTTTTTTTTATTCTTGTTGATAATAGGTACAATTTGGACAACATGATGGATGGGTTTTACATTGCTCCTGCTTTCATGGACAAGCTTGTTGTTCACATCACCAAGAACTTCTTGACCTTGCCTAACATCAAGGTGAACAATATCACAGTTGTTGAGTTATTACACACCAAAGATTCCAAGTTTATTAATCTTGAAATGCTCTGTTTTCTTTATAGGTTCCACTTATTTTGGGTATTTGGGGAGGCAAAGGTCAAGGTAAATCATTCCAGTGTGAGCTTGTCATGGCCAAGATGGGCATCAAGTAAGTCCATCTCCTACCGGTTACCGGTTCGAATCATAAGCAACATAACTCTAACAAAAAGGTTAAATCTATTTGCAGCCCAATCATGATGAGTGCTGGAGAGCTTGAGAGTGGAAACGCAGGAGAACCAGCCAAGCTTATCCGTCAAAGGTACCGTGAAGCAGCTGACATAATCAAGAAAGGAAAGATGTGTGTTCTATTCATCAACGATCTCGACGCTGGTGCTGGTCGTATGGGTGGCACTACTCAGTACACTGTCAACAACCAGATGGTTAACGCAACGCTCATGAACATTGCTGATAACCCAACCAACGTCCAGCTCCCAGGAATGTACAACAAAGAAGACAACGCACGTGTCCCAATCATTGTCACCGGTAACGATTTCTCCACTCTCTACGCTCCTCTCATCCGTGATGGACGTATGGAGAAATTCTACTGGGCACCCACACGTGAAGACCGTATTGGTGTCTGCAAGGGTATCTTCAGAACTGACAAGATCAAGGATGAAGATATTGTCACACTTGTTGACCAGTTCCCTGGACAATCCATTGGTAATAATAATTAAAAAAAACATGAGTATCTTTCTATTTGTTGGTGTTGTGTCTGATTCTGATTCTTGTGGATAGATTTCTTTGGTGCCTTGAGGGCTAGAGTGTACGATGATGAGGTGAGGAAGTTCGTTGAAGGGCTTGGAGTGGAGAAGATAGGAAAGAGGCTGGTGAACTCTAGGGAAGGTCCTCCAGTGTTTGAGCAGCCAGAGATGACACTTCAGAAGCTTATGGAGTATGGTAACATGCTTGTGATGGAACAAGAGAATGTCAAGAGAGTCCAACTTGCTGACCAATACCTTAACGAGGCTGCGTTGGGAGACGCAAACGCGGACGCCATTGGCCGCGGAACTTTCTACGGTTAGAATCCGAGGTTGAAACTTTTTTGTTTAGGAAACTGTAAAAGAAGGTGAGAGGGAGAGAGAAATGGGAATAGGGTTTCTGAAATGTTAAGTGTAACTTGGCTTGCAGGTAAAGGAGCACAGCAAGTGAGCCTTCCTGTTCCAGAAGGGTGTACTGATCCTGCTGCCAAGAACTTTGATCCAACGGCTAGAAGTGACGATGGAACTTGTGTCTACAACTTTTGAGCTTTCTCCTAATTATTGTTATTAATCTGTACTTTTTTTTTTGAACTTTGTGTAATTGTGAATTGGTGGTTCTTGTCCTCTTTTGTTACTCGTTACTTCTAATGATCATATGTGCAAGCATATTCATATTTCAAATTTGTATTATCATTAAACCTTTTCTTCTGCTTCACGTTTCTTCTCCCAATTGTTAGTGCATTGACTTTCAGTATATATAAAAAATATTTAGAGATTCAAGGAAGTTAAAAAGAAACTAGTTATACTTTTCTACATAACAATATGATCAGTTGATCAATAACAAGAGGCTTAGGCTGCACACTAAATGATCAGGTTGTTAAAAGGAAAGATCAGAGCGTCGCTGCAAACTGGCTCCTCCAAATTGAAAGAGTGACAAATGGAAGAAACTAAAATCTACCACAAACATTGCCTAGAAATTAAAATCTACCACAAACATTGCCTATGACGATTTGGAGGTTGCCTGGTGGAGGATTCGCTGTGGGGAGGATCCCTGGAGGATGGAGTGGAGGAATGCCGGTGGTGTACACGGAGGTTGACGGTGGAAGAGTGGAAGGAGAGAGGCTTCCGAGAAGAGGAGGAAGTAGTAGAGAGATATCGGGTGGGTTTGTGATATGATGCGGAGGGTGTATGTTCGAAGAGAGAAAGACGTGGAGGGAAGAGAAGCTTGAGGAGGAAGGGTCAGACTTAAAGAAATAAAAGAGTTTACAAATAAATAGAAACAATTGTTATTGGGCCTCGGTATATAAGAGGACTCAATCGAAAACAGAATTAGTTAGTTGGTTGTTGAGCTTGACTCTTCTAGAGCANTACAAATAAATAGAAACAATTGTTATTGGGCCTCGGTATATAAGAGGACTCAATCGAAAACAGAATTAGTTAGTTGGTTGTTGAGCTTGACTCTTCTAGAGCAAGTTGTAATCTGATTTCTTGGCTTAGCTCTCCGATCTGTGGAGTCTAAGAGGGGCGGTTGGGCGGATCTTTAATAGAATACATCTTGTTTCTATCAAATTGGTGCGGTGAGCGTGGATCGAACACGCGACCTTCAGATACATCATTCAAACTCGGAACCTGGCCGTAGTTATAGGCATGATGATACAGTAGATCGGAACACGGTAGATCGGAATATATTGATTGGTAGCAAGGAAAAAATGTTGAAACGTGTGGAACTTCCGATCTTCGATGGTGTGGATGCTTTTGGATGGATTGCGTTGGCGGAGAGGTTTTTTAGAATTGGAGGTTATGATGAGAAGGCGAAATTGGATGTGGTTTCTGTGAGTTTGGCAGGGGATGTTCTTAGCTGGTTTAATAGTGAGACTCACAGGAAGGGATTTAAGAATTGGATGGAGTTTAAAGAGAAAATGATTGCAAGGTTCAGTAAAGAGAAGTTGAGGGATCCGAGTCAACCTTTCTTCGCAGTCACTCAAACGGAGTCTGTGGCTAAGTACATTCATAAGTTTGAGGATCTTTCAACGCAAGTATCTGGCTTGACCGACAAGCAGTTAGAAGGCATCTTTATGAACGGTTTGAAGAAAGAAATGCGTGAAGTGGTTAACATGTGTAAGCCTGTGGACTTGGAAGAAATGATAGCAACTGCTTATCAGATGGAGGACAGTGTATTGTACAAAGTCGTATGTCGGGAGAGACAACAGGAGGCACGAAACGTTACGCGGAGTGGCTACAACAAACCATTCACATCATCAAAAAGCAACTCTACGTGGACACCTAAGTCACAACAATCCAAATCAAGTGAAGGCAGTAATACTAGACCTCAGTTGCGATTAACTGAAGCTCAAATTGAGGAGAAGAAAAGACTGGGATTATGTTTTACGTGTGATGAAAAATGGTCCAGGCAACACTTGTGCTCTAATCGTTCGTTGCAGGTGTTGACAGTAGTGAATGGGATTGAGATGGAGATTGTTGATCAGTCTTTGATTGAAGTGGAGGAGGAGGGAGATGATGCAGATACGACAATGATGAGTCTTTCATTAAACTCATTCCTTGGTCTGTCTTCTCCAACAACAACAAAGTTGCGAGGATACATCAAGAGGATTGATGTGGTGATTATGATTGATAGCGGGGCTACTCATAATTTCATTTCACCAGCTGCTGTAAAGAAACTCAAACTGTCGGAGGTAGCCAACCAGAACTTGAATGTGCTTTTGGGAACTGGAGTTTCGGTTCAGGGCACAGGAGTTTGCAGAGATGTGCGCGTTGTTCTCCCTACAATGTCGTTCTCCGCGGATTTCATTGTCTTGGAGTTAGGCAATGCGGACGTCATTCTTGGAGTTCAATGGCTCCGCACGTTGGGGAAGTGTGTGGTGGATTGGGAACAGAATGAGTGGTCTTTTACTTATAAGGGTTCTCAGGTAGTCCTCAAAGGCGATCCGTCCTTGCACGCTCAAAACGTGTCCCTCAAGACCTTGTTGCCGAGTGCTAAGAAGGAAAGTAAGAAAGGAGTACAGACAGTTGATCAGTTGGCAGTCTGTCAGCCTGAGATACCGTTATTAGTGGAACAGAAGTTGAAATTGTACGAGCAGGTGTTTCAAAAACCAAAAGGTTTACCACCGCTGAGGGGACGAGAGCATGCTATTACTTTACAAGCACACTCTCCACCTATTAGCGTGCGCCCGTACCGTTATCCACATGCACATAAGGAAGCCATGGAGAAATTGGTGCAAGAAATGTTGAGTGAAGGATTGATCAGGCCTAGCCAGAGTCCGTACTCCAGTCCTGTCCTCTTGGTGAAGAAGAAGGATAACTCTTTTCGTTTTTGTGTGGATTACAGAGCGTTAAATAGAGCAACCATACCGGACAAGTACCCAATTCCGATGATTGATCAGTTACTTGACGAATTGCATGGTGCTAAGGTTTTTTCGAAGCTGGATTTGAGAGCGGGTTACCATCAAATAAGAATGGCAGAAGGCGATATTGAGAAAACTGCTTTTCGTACACATGACAGTCATTTTGAATTCCTGGTAATGCCCTTTGGGTTGACTAACGCTCCGGCCACATTTCAAGCTCTGATGAATGAGGTCTTTCGGAAGTTTCTGCGCAAGTTTGTGTTGGTGTTTTTTGATGATATTTTGATCTACAGCAGATCATTAGAAGAGCATGTGAAGCATCTTGGGTTAGTGTTGGATGTGTTTGCTGCGCAGAAGCTTTACGCAAATTTGAAGAAGTGTGCTTTTGCGCAAGAGAAAGTGGAGTATTTGGGCCATGTGATTACCAGTTCTGGAGTCTCTACGGATGGGCAAAAGATCGCAGCTGTGGAGAAATGGCCTAATCCGAAGTTGGCAAAAGAGTTGCGAGGTTTCCTCGGGTTAACAGGGTATTATCGCAAGTTTGTCAAGAATTATGGGTCTATTGCACGTCCTCTTACAGATTTGTTGAAGAAGGATTCGTTTGCGTGGTCAGGGGTGGCTCAGACTGCTTTTGATAGTTTGAAGAAGGCTATGATTTCAACTCCTGTTTTGGCTCTTCCAGATTTCAATAAGCTGTTTATCGTCGAATCTGATGCTTCGGGATTTGGGTTAGGAGCGGTTTTGATGCAAGATCAACATCCGATTGCCTTCTTTAGCCGGGGTTTAACGTACAAGGAGCAGCAAAAGCCAATTTATGAGCGAGAACTAATGGCTATTGTGATGGCAATTCAAAAGTGGAGGCATTACTTGTTAGGAAGAAGATTTGTGGTGCGCACGGATCAACAAAGTCTGAAATATCTGTTGGAGCAACGAGAGATCACATTGGATTATCAGCGTTGGTTAACGCGAATATTGGGGTATGAGTTTGACATCGAATATAAGGTTGGGGCAGAAAACAAAGTGGCTGATGGGTTATCTAGAATTGATCATACTGGAGTAGAAGGGACTTCTTTGGATTTTTTGGCTTTGACGGTTCCAACCTACTTGCAACTCCAAGATTTGTATAAAGAAATTGAGGAGGATATGGAGATTCAGGAACTGCTAAGGAAGGTGGTAGCGAAGGAAGTGACTAAGTCTGGGTTCTCGGTGGTTCAGGGACGGTTGTTTTATAAGCAGAGACTGGTTATTCCTTCAAATTCAAGTCAGATTCCATTGATTTTGCGAGAGTGCCATGACAGTATGTTAGGAGGTCATGCAGGAATTTTGAGAACGTTGCAACGTGTTAAGGCAACGTTTTACTGGTCTAAAATGAGGAAAAGGATTCAGGAGTATGTGGCGGGTTGTGAGGTGTGCCAAAAGCACAAATATTCTACACTGTCTCCGGCTGGCCTGCTGCAACCGATTGACTTACCAGTGCGGATTTGGGAGGACATAGCCATGGATTTTATCGAAGGGTTACCAACGTCGAATGGCGTGAATGTGATTCTCGTCGTGGTGGACAGGTTGAGTAAATACGGACATTTCATTACTCTTAAACATCCATTCACGGCAGTGGATATTGCTCAGAAGTTTGTCAAAGAAGTGATCCGTCTCCATGGGTATCCGAAGTCTATCATTTCTGACAGAGACAAGATCTTTCTAAGTACGTTTTGGAAGGAATGTTTTCGGCTTTCAGGGACTCGTCTGCGGTTTAGTACGGCTTTTCATCCGCAATCCGATGGACAAACCGAGGTGCTTAACAGATGTTTGGAGACTTATTTGAGGTGCTTTGCGTCCACTCATCCTAAGACTTGGTCAAAATTCATTCCGTGGGCCGAGTTATGGTATAATACATCATATCATACTGCCTTGAAGTGTACACCGTTTCAGATGGTTTATGGGCGTGAGCCGCCGTCTTTGTTGGCGTATGAGTTTGGCTCCACACAGAATTCAGAGGTGGAAGTGATGTTGCTGGAAAGAGAAAAGTTCTTGAGTTCGATTAAGGACAACTTGTTAAGAGCTCAAGCACGTATGAAGAATGATGCTGACAAACATCGTCGTGAGTTGGAGTTCGAAGTTGGCTCACGGGTTTATCTTAAACTTCGTCCGTATCGCCAGCAGTCTGTGAGTAAACGTCTGTTTCAAAAGCTGGCAGCACGCTACTATGGGCCTTTTGAGGTTGTTGCGCGAGTTGGCCAAGTTGCTTATCGGTTGAAGTTACCAGAGACATCACGGATTCACCCTGTGTTTCACGTTTCCCAACTCAAGCCGGTGGTGGGTAATTCGTCGGTGGTGTCGGAGATTCCTTTGGCTATGACTCGTGAGGATGAGATGGTGGTGGAAC